TACCGTCCCCCGGCCCCGGCCCTGGCCCTGGCCCTGGCCCCTACCTCACTCTCCCCTCAATCTTGCTCAATCCAGTTTATCGAGTCCCATCTGTGTACCAAACTTCGTTGATAATTGTGCATTCTTATTATAAACTTATTGCAGTTAAGTTGACTTGTTTTCAAGCCGCTGATTTTTTGTTGCACTCTACTCAAATACTTGCAATATGGTATTGTTTTACGGTGATGCTGATGATGATCCTAACTGTTACGCAGTTGACTTGATGAAGCCTGGAACCACAGTAATAATCCGTAATGCAAAGATTGATATGTTCAAAGGCTCAATGAGATTAGCCGTTGATAAATGGGGTCGCATTGAAGTCACTGAACCTGCAACTTTCACTGTCAAAGAGGACAACAATCTGTCTTTGGTCGAATATGAACTGGTAAATGTTGTTGATGAATGATTCGGGATCATCTTGAGGTACGATTCTTCTTGGGGTTTGGTATACGACTACTTTTGTTGGGGGGTCTGTTTAGTCTTTCTTGTTGATATCGTTTAACTTGAATAGAACTAGTCTATTGTCCTAATTGGTTTCTTTCTAAAAGAATCATCTTTTGAATTCTCACGATTCCTCATCTGTTCATATGGTTGGAGTGGTTTACTTTTACGCGAAAGAAAGATTCAGTATGTTAATAGTAATCCGTAAAAACAATGGTTTGTACTTGTGAATTCTAATCTGAATCACTTATGGAAATTTTCCCAATCTGGGATGAATCTAATATGGTTTTTTATTCAGTTAAGACTTCTTTTAGTCATTTGGTGGTTATTCATTTATATAGTTTAGGGGCCGTTTACCAAACACTTACCGGTAAGCGCTTACCGACAAAATGTAACACTATCATTGACTTATCGGGTAAGATTTTAGTCCACCAAAACGATATCGTATGAAACAATTTACCCGGTAAGCGTTTACCATGGGAAGAGTCATCTCCCCCACTTACCGAGTAAGACTCTTTGTCCTTGTCTCGCTCTTACCAGGTAAGATTCTTGGTTCTTGCCATATTCATCCGGTAAGATACTGTGACTTGGTGTTCACTTACCCGAGTAAGCATTTGGTAAACAGCCTCTTAATTTCATCACACAATTGAAGTAACATGGTCATTATGCCCCTTAAAGGTAGTTGCCTAAGGGGTCATTTACCAAACGCTACTTACCTTATCGTGTAACATTTTTTGCCATCAAAATGGGTTGTTGGTACGCGCTTGGTTTTGATTGGAAAACTTGGGCGAAACTTAAAAACGAAGCGCGTTTACAGTCGGGTCTAGTTATAACAATTACAGGGGCTAACAGGTTATACCAGTTATGGTCCCGATTGTAACGGTTGTCAATTGAAAAAAGTTCGTCCTATTTCTAACGGAAGTGATGGAGTGCAAGGGCTGTATTCTGCTGAAAATGAAAGTTATGGTGAGAAGTGTAAGAGGAAGTCTCCACCTTTATATCAATTCTAATTGAATGTCAACACTAATGAGGTGCACCGAGATGCACCGGATCAATTCCCGTCTAAAACGCAATTCATGGGTGGACATGGGATTAAAAGTTATCAAGAGTTTAAATCTTTTCTTACGCTTTTTGTTCTCAACTCATTTTCTCACACGACCTTGATAAAACACCGATTATATCAAATAGCCAATTCAAAATCAAAGTTCAAAAGTACAACCATACCAAAAAATACACACAAATCAAAACCCAATAATTTTTTTTAAAGAATATAATCTACCTTATTTGAATTTGTTAGTTATGTGGATATGGAGAAGGAAGTGCACATGGTAGAAACAACCAAGCTTCAAACACCTCAAAAGACCGTTTATCAAACACTTACCTGTTAAGTGTTTATCGTTGAATTAACACTATCATTTACTTAACGGGTAAGGTTTCAGTCTAACAAAACGGCATCGTATGCAACAATTTACCTGGCAAGCGCTAACCGTGGTAAGATTCGTCATCCTCGCTTACCGGGTAAGACTCTTGGTCATTGTCTTACTCTTACCGGGTAAGATCGTTGATTCTTACTATATTCATCCGGTAAGGTAATGTGACCTAGTAAATGCATACTCAGGTAAAAGTTTGGTAAACACTTGAGAAAGCCCAAAAACTTCTAGTTAAAGCTTGAAAAATCTGGTCTTAGAAAGCCTGATTGGACCCTTTTCCAAATTCCAACCCTAAAACCGGAGTTTTTTTTGGCTTACAGGTATATGGGCTTGAAAGACCGAGACCCATGCAAGAAAAAACACAAGCCTCGTGCATCTCTCAGTACAAAGCGAACAAGGCTTCAAACAACTTAAAGCTTACCGTAAAATTATTCCAAACTCATCGACAAAAGTTTTAGTTATTTCTTAAATACTTTACGTACTTGTTTATATGCATTTCAAACTTGTACGATAAATAGAATTAGTAAACAAATAGGTTAAATGATCGATTGCTCTTCCGTCAAGGGCATTTAACGGACCCAACTAATGGTGCTAGGACCAGAGACCAAATCCATATGCATTTAACGGTTGAAACCTCGAGCTTATAGCATCCATGTTTATTTCTTAAAAGTAATCCAAATAAAATCGAAAATTTTACTTGTTCAAACATCTTTGATCAATGGGTTCAATTTCAAGAAATCAAAACCGAATAAAACCAGTTTGATTTCCAATTCCATTCAAAACCGAACTAAACTCCTAGTCAAACCACTTGGTAGTCCTGGTTCGTTCCTAGATTTTCACGCGCAACACAACCAAAACCGAAATATCGAAACGACAACAAACGTCGTCATCCACACTTGGACCATTCATGTTTCTGATAACCAATTCATCGAATCCATTAATTGTTCAAGCAACCAAAACTTCAGATTTTTGCAAAAAACACTCAAAGCCGAAGTAGACATCAAGTCTATACATTGTCGGGATTGGCTAACCACGAGCTCTTTCTTGATTCTATGAGATGTCATATCAACCGTTTTTAGCCGATCAAGCAAGTTGTCTACTTAGATTGTGAATTTGTTGCCAAGCTTTTTAGAAAACTGATTGGCTATATAATGGGATTGTGAAAAAGCCCACAACAAAAAACACCACCATTGTGCATACTTCTAATTATGTTAACCAATAACTAACGAAAATCAAACCAAACGAGCCTCGCTATATCCCACCCAAAAATAGGGTCTTGGGAGCCAGATGTACGTACACCTTTCATCATTTTGCTAATTAGCTACATGGAGGCTTAGAATCACAACACATGACATATAATACCCCAACACAATGTAGCAATACCTTTCGGTTTACGTTGGGGGGATAAGTCATTGTACACAATATTGCATTCCTTTTCGGATGACATTCAGTAGTAAAGGAGTTATGGTCACTATACTCAAAACCAAACCATACCAAATGAACCTGGTAAATCGCACACGAAGTAGGGTCTAGACAGACCCTAACTCTATTCTAAGAAGCAAGAGTAGAGAGGTTTTCCATAAAAACCACTGCTTGTGAAAAGGTTACGAGAAAAGGAATTTGCAATCAAATATGGATCAAAAGGGTTCAACCGCAGCTCCATTGAGCATAGAAGACACCACGCCGAGCAAAATAGAAGTATCGATAGTAAGACATGGAACCATCGGTTTCAACAGATATGTGACTCATCTAATCTGATCAGCTACATCTAACAAAACCACCTGGAAAACAATCAAATGGGCATCGAATTATCGTTAGCATTCTGCATTACAGCTATGACCAAGCCTACTTTCCAACATTTGCACAAGGGTGCAGTACATTGACCAGACTGAACAAGAGTGCACAGGTAAGAGTGTAAGGTTTTACGAATTTTAATTTGACATGGGTAGTTTAGTAATTCACAATCTTGTCTCGTCTCCCTAATTTTCCTTCCACATATATTCGTGAGAGTTTAAAAGTGCACTTTTGTCCACTTCCCTGTGCCAGACTAGTGGCGAGTGAAACGTGGTACAACAATATTTGTTTTGTCATGTCCCATTCCATCCCCTGTACCAAACGCACCCTAAGAGAGAACCTGTTACTGTGGCTTAGGGGGTGGCAACATAAACCAATGAACCTAAAATGGTCAACAAATCAAATATTTGGTGGGTTTTTCTGCGGCATGTGACACGATGGCAGATATTATTTATTCTTTTAATCCCGGAAAAGAACTCCAAGGGAGATGTGGGTTTGAACTTTACAAAACTGGGGAAGCTGAAAGCACCAATAACAAGGGTATTGTCATGCATCACTTGAAGCAATAATTAATCTAACTATAAAACCAATGTTGAGTATTCTAACCAGATTCAGAAAGGAAAAATACAGCAGAAAATTACCCTACATAGATCTCGAAGAACACCTTGGAGCTAGGAATCTGCAAAGCGAATAATAAGTTTCAAGAATGTGTGTCAATAAGGGAAGTCAGTAGCCGCTTGGAACAAATCAACTAAAACGAATAACCACCAATAATATGAACAGTATTGTCTTTGCTGAATATCTAGAAATAGAAGCAGAAAATGGTTCACCGTACAGATATCCAAACAGGGCCACACATGCGAAGGAAAAGAAACACATATTTGCAACAGAATATACTGAAATTAATTTACACCAAGTAAATTAAAGCATGATTAACCACTGTGTTGGATTTTGTTAAATATAGAAAGAAAAAAGGACACTAAAATCTAGAGAAGTGATTTTTTTTGTTTACATTTCCATGCCTTGATGAAATTGTTCATTCTTGCAAACTACGAGTCTTTCTCTAACAAAAAGGATGGTTATTTGCAACAAAAACCAAGTACAATGGTTGGCGAAATTAGTCACTTGTATATTATTACATCAAACGTACGATAGAACCTAAGGGTTGGGTTCCAGTGAGAATGAGGGCTATGGTGAGAAGGGTAAGAAGGAATCTCCACCCTTGGATCAATCCTAATTGAAGAGTTCCACTAGATCAACACTAATGAGAAGCACCGGATCAATTCCCTCCTAAAGCGTAATTCATGGGTTGGTTTGAGATTAAAAGTGATCAAGGGTCCAAATCCCTACTTACACTTCTCAGCTTAAGTCCTATTCTCACACGATCCTTTGTCTAGAACCCAAACACAGATCCTGAGGAGGCCCCAAGCCCCCAACCGCAACTCAAAACTCAAGGCATGTTTCCAGTATGCTTTTGAAATAGTTTTGGAGCAAAGCTGACTATTTCCAATTATCATATCAGATGTATTTACACAAGGTGAAATGCATACAACAAAGTGGCTATTTTGCTTCTGTTAGACCCGATATTCATGTCACCTATTCTAGAGGAATAAAAGGCAAGGGTAAATAAGTCCTTAGAATTGTAATGAGTTGTTAGGAAGTTGATTAGCACTAAATGTTGTATAAATAAAGGGATATGCTGATAATAATACACAATTCGATGGGAGAATCATACTACCTCTTGAAAGTTGGGGAAATTTGTTCGAATCTTGAATAAGAGTGCAAAATTGATTGATGATTGCTATTTTTGTCGAGTAAATTTCAACAGCTTCATCTTATCATTACTATTGTTGCCTAATCAGTGTGCATGATCAAAATTCTACCAAACGTTGGCAATCGTAACAAAAAATTGGAGCCAATTCTCACAATCCAACAAAACTACGAGTTAAATACATATGCAGAAGGATTAAGAGTAGATTAAAAGCTTCTCGAATCCATAATGGCCAGCATCTTTTGGAGGCACCAGTTGTGAAATGTTTGTACTTGAATAATTTCATGCTTTTTCTTTTCTTTAGCTTTGGAGGTATGCCCTATGGATTTTGTAGAATAATCTTTATTCAATTCAAATTTCCGTTAAAAAACTGATGCACTATTTTACACGACAAATAGTTTTTAGATATTTTTGTTATTCAATTTCATGATTTCCATGTAAGAACATTTCTTCCATCACATTAAAAATGATATAATCTAGAATAGACTTCCTTTGACAACAACCCAAACAGCCCAACAAGAGAATAAGCCAGGATGCACAAGGTAAACACTATGAAGACACTGTACATTAACTGGAACAAATGAAGTTTAAAAAATATACCATCAATGGTCCAACCACAGCTATAAGGAGCACTTGAAAGCATTGAAGTCAGCAATGCAGATGCAGTGGCTGTGTGGAATGGAAGCATTGATTCCAAAGCAACACAGCTCTTCTCAACCGGTGACCTATTTTTAACAATTTTCACATCCAAGAAAAAAGAAACTTAATTTTCTTTATTCATGTCATCACCAAAAAACCTTCGTTAAGCAATGGAGAAAGTGGGACGTTAATCTTAACTAATACCAAAATACAAACTAACTGACGCATACAAAACATTATTGCATTAAAATCTTTATCTAACATTACAAATCCTTAAGAATTTACAATAATATAACTAGTACATAAGTTTTTTTAAATCACACAGTATGCATCTACTATTCCTTTTACTGTTTCGCTACATATACTTGTAGCAAACATCTATTCACAAAAAGTAGAAACATATCAACACAATAGTGGCTGCAAAGTATTGATGTCAAAAGATAATCATTAGTGCAACGATATAACCGATAAAATGAAGATGTGCCATGAGACCATTAGTGCTGACACATGACTCCATAGTTCACAGCCATCACACTAAGGGGCTGTTTGTTTGGCTCTTAATGGTTACATTAAGAGCCAACCTCTTAATCGGTAAGAGGTCAAGGTTGTTTGGCAAAAAAAATGGCTCTTAATGATTACATTACCCCTCTTAACCATTTTGCATCTAAGGGTTCTCTAAACCATTCAGACTTCTCTTTTTCCATCTTTTGCCCTCTCTCCCAACGTTCCTCACACATCGCTCACAGCCCCTCCCCCCACCCTACGAACGCCGGTCTTCAAATCCCTCCCCCCACACACGATCGCCGGTCTTCAAATCGCTTCCCCCCACCCTACGATCGTCGGTCTTCTTCTTCCAGCAGGTCTCACGTCGCCTTCTTCCAGCGCCGCCTGTCGTCGCCACTCGCCGCCTCACGTCACCGTCTCCGGTCGCCTCCATCCTTTTCCTCGCAAGCTTCAGGTATTTCCGCCCCTACTCTATGATTTTGGTGAACTGTAGTTATCTGGATGGGGTTATTCCGCCCCTACTGCTTCAGGTATACCCCAAGGAAAAGGAAACAACAGATTATTATCAATGTAGTTATCTAGACATGGTTATTAATTTTCCAGGTATGAGTCCATACTTGTCCTTCAGAACCCAACTCATGGGTATCTACTGTCACCCGAAAACAGTCACTTAGATAGGGTCTTCATTGCCATCTCAGAAGGCTTTGGCCTATTATGCAGGAGCATCATACTAGTTGCCATCTCAAAAGGCTTCATGGCAATGTCTCATAGTGTACTAGTAGTTCTCCATAGGTGCTACATTGGCCATCTAATCATATTACATTGCCATCATGTAGGTAGCCAATTGTATACTTTCTCATCACCTTTCGTCATGCATGCCTTAGAAGATGTTATAGGAACCAATATGTACCATGCTCAAAGAATTTTAGCTCAATATTATCATGAAAGCCACTAGACCCTAACAACTCATATTCAAGAATCCATAGAGTAAACAATTATGAGTAGAATCATTCAATTGGTGAAACGAAATGAAACGAACATACGGCTCAAAATAGAGGTGATTAGAAACTTCCTTGAGTTTCTTATCCTAAGATAAGCTTTACTTCTCTTTAGGTCCTTCTAGCAACACAAAACCATTTGTCTCTCATGACCTTAAGCGTCCGTTTGGTTTGACGGAATGTTTTTAAGAGATTTGGACTTCGTAGAAGGATTTGGAATTGGAAGGAATTGAAAGGATTTAAAAGTTTTGGTGTGTTGGGTTTGTAAGATTTGTAGTGGAATTGAATTCCATTATTTATAGATATTTTATTAGAAACAAATTATAAGTAATTATGAAAAATAACTAAATTACCTTTTACTAATTGATTATTACAAAACAAATGTTCTAAACATATTTTAAAACATTTTTACAAACAAATCCTACGAAATCCCATGAAAAACCTAATGGAGGCCCATCAAGGAATGACAAAGAAGACCCATTGAAGCATAAGAATGGCCCAATTACAAGATAAGAGCTAAGAAGACATGCAAGCCATCGCAATTCTAGTATCTGAAATTCAAGCCCTTGGCAATGCAAATGAAGACAATAGATTCATTTTCAAGCTACAAGTTTGTGAATATTCTTGAAGCCCAAAATGCATCAATTAGTGAATATTTCAAAATGATTATGGAGCCAAACAAAGGATTGGAGATGCCCCATCAACCAAAGGCATTTATAGAGCCTTGAACATATGGAAAAAGCCATATTTTTTCTTTTCTTTGGCTCCAAGAAAAAAATCCACCCCAAGCTTGCTTCCTTACCAAGTTTGCTTAAAATTAGGCATATTTTGGAAGATATGGAAGAAATATTCCATATTATAGTTTTCTTTTAATGTTTAGAGTTGTTTCCCTCCTTTTTATTCAAGTTTCCTTTTGTTTGGGAGAACCCTAGTTTCGGAGTCCTATACATTATGGACGAATTTTGACGTTTAATCAACATCAAATCATTAAAAATTTTCATTCTTGAGTTTATTTCTGAGCTATTCTCTCTTGTGGGGTTTTAGTGTTGAGCAAAGTTTGTGGAGTTCTTCGTATTTTTTGGTTCTTAGTTCTTCCCTAACTAAGGGTCAAGAATTCATACCAAGGTTCTTAATCTTTATTCAACGGTTTAAAGGTCAAGGTTGCTTGTTCGATTGTTTTTCAAGTCATTGGGTTGTTATTTTTCTGCGTTTGCTCGATTGAAATCTCGTGGTTCTAAGCTTCATAGCTTATGGGTCATCATGGATTCACATCAATACCAACTACCCCTATGGGATTTCTAAATCCAATGTTTGTGGGATTTCATTGAAATCCCAATATTTCAATTTCGGACGTTCCTTAAAACCAAATGCGGGATTGGAACGGAATTCACTTCCAAATCCTACCAAATCCCATAAACCAAACGGACCCTAAGAACCTTTCATCAACCTTCATGCTTAGTCATCCCTAGCCTTGTATAACAACTTTTATCTTTTTGAAAACAAAGCTTTTATTTATATACATATCTACTTATATGATAGGATGAAACACAAATAAAGCACGTAAATACACAGGTCCTCACAAACCATTTCTACTGAAAGTACATGACCCTTCTAGTGTTCTAAATAATCCACTTAAGGCCGCCTAATCAATCGCCTAGGCGTTAAGCATCCCACCACTTTGATAGGGAACTAACCGTTAAATTAAGCATTTACAAGTAATGAAGTGGGATCAAACAGATTAAAAGCTGGGGTTAATGGGTTTACCTTAAATAAAATCAGGTGAATACCGGTTAAAAAATCAATGCAGTCCAATTCAAAATATATTTTGATCTGAATTATAATTAACTTCTATCTTTTGTATGCAATTACGATATTTCATTACATGCCTAAACGCAAAATGAGCATCTTTGCAATTGTTGCCCTTAATTCATTTTTTTTTTTTGAAAAAGTTGGGGGGGGGGGCCTCTAGGATCAAAATTTCGGATTTTCTTCTAAATTGTTTAATTATGGAATTATGTACATGGAAAAAGATTATGAATATACTCATATGTAGAAGTTTGAAAGACATCATGGCATCATGATCCTTTGTCTCATTTTCCTCCTAATCAACTTGTGTTCATCAATGACTTTTCTCAACTCAGCTGCAATATATCCAATCCATGAGTTTTTAGCTTCAATCTTTATCAAGTTTTAACTTCATACTCTCCGTATCCTTACAAAATCTGATCTCATCGCATATGGAAAAATGAACCACCTAAGCATCAATCAAAGCAGGGAAATTACACGCTTGAAGATCCTTCTCAACCACCCAGCTCCACTTAGGGCTTTTTACAATTGTTCCTCTCTCCATTTGTTATCTCCATTCTAGACAAAGACCCACATTCAGGTCTTCGAAAGTCAAATACAGTTACCATTTAACATGAGTTTTGAACTTAGAATGAAATTTTGTAACATCCCAAGCCCAAAGTAGCAGGCGGACAAAATAACTTCCAGATCAACTTAAAACAATGATGGATATTATTGGTATTACGCAACTTCGGAATTACTAAGAGCTCACAAATCTTATTTTGTATCCATGTGGAAAGGGTAGTCACAACCCCGCTCCACATAAATGAGCTCTCACAAGCTTGTAAATCCCACTTTCCATCGATATGGCACAAGTTGTCACAAAACCCCTCCACTTAAATTCTGGATGTCCTCGTCAAGGCTACCCAACATCCTCTTTGTTCACATATGATATGGGATTTCCCTAAGATGTTATATACACCCCCTTAGGAAGTCATAATGCTCAATGAGATTTACCCCACCATCCTCATAGTACAAGAACGGGTTCTCATATCATTTGTAACACCCTAAGCCCCAAGAAAAATTGACCCAATAACTTCTTAATAAACTTAAAACATGGTGAAAATTATTGATAGCCTACGCAATTACAAGGAGCTCACAGATCTTATTTTCTATCCATATGGATCCCTACATAAACGAGGTCTGAGACTCGTAAATCCCACTTTTGAGTTGTCACAAAATTGCTAGCATATAGCTGCCCTCAAACTTCCTAATAAGCACTTCAAATGTAATAATCGTGGGTAAAGTTTGCAACAAATCCAAGAAATTCTTGCAATTGGAAGTTACTCAGTTTGATATCAAATAATCAAAGTGCAGCTCTTTTGAAAGATGGCTAAGCGAATCATCACCAAGCATCATCAACCATACGTTAAAACCCCAAATTGCAGATAGTTGTTCTAACTTCAACATTATGGCGACAAACAAAGCAAACATAAATAAAATTTGATGCAAAGACGTATTACAATAACCTGAAAATGCGATGAGATAGGGGATTTCGAGCCGGGACGCGGAACGGAGAACGTGCGGCACCCGTGAAACTAGGTTTAGCACCGGCGGAGATTCTAGACGCCGATGACCTAACGCCGGTGGAAGCTGAGCGGAGGACCGACCTACCAGCGAATACCGCTGCCATATAAAAACCTCTTTCTTTCTTTGGTATCTTGCTGGGGGTTTTTGGTTTCGAATGTAATAACCGATTTTGTTCCTTGTGAATTTGGTTTCGAATTTTATTTATTATAAAAAACGTTTGTTCCAGTTTGGTTTGAAGGAATGAAATGGATTTGGAGATTTGTAGTTTAAATCAATTTCAATATCATGTTTGATTTGTTGAATCATTTGGATTTGAAATTCTAGAATTTAATTGAATTTTTTTTTTATTAACCTGGATATCCAACCTGCTATGCGAGTCAACTAATCCCAAGACGACCACTTGTTTTGCAGATAGCCCAGAGTCACCGCATTTGAACCTCCTTATTCCTCATTGGATTTGAACATAGGACATCCTGGTACTTTTGACCTTTGGAGCCAATCTCAAACCAACCAGCCACCACCTTTATGGTTAAACATAGAATTTTGAAATCCTTAGTGAGTGCTCGGGATTTCACGAGAATTAGTAGGATTGTATTCAATAAGGTTTTAAAAAATGTTAAAAACATTTGTTTTGTAATAATTGATTAATAATAATGTAATTTAATTATTTTTATAAATTTTGTAAATTATTTATAAATAATGGAATCCAATTCCATTCCAGTTCCTACAAACCAAACACACCAATGATTGGTGTTCTTGAGCAACGACGTCATTTTGGTGGTTGTGGTGTTCAACGGCGGTGGTGGTCGTTGTTCTTCAGGAACTTCATTAATTAAATTCTCTTCTCAACATTACTCTCATATTCCATTATTAATTTAGGGTTTTAATTTTAGGGTAAAATGTAAGAAGTAGCAATATACTTTTCATTTACTTTTCGTATTATACTTTCAGTTTTTCTTGTTAAAGCAATTTACTTGCAAATTATTATTTGGGAAAAGTTCAAAAAAACCCAATGAACTTTACTATTTGGAATGATTAAGTCCTTGAATAATTTTTTAGAACAAATAAATCCTTAAACATTTTAAAATCTGTTAAATAAGTAATTAGACTCTACAAAACCTATTAAATAGATCCTTATTCCTTAAAATCTTAACCTGCAACCTGAATAGAAGGTAATTTAAATAAATAAAAAAAACTTAAAAAATGTTAGAAGTAAGACTACTGCTCCCTTCTCGTGACTACTCATCTCCCCCTCTCCCGACCGCTGCTCCCTTCCCGTCTCCTTCTCCCTCTCGCACACCATCGTTTCCTTCTCCCTCACACATCGTCGTCTCCCCCAACCCCATCGCTACCGCGTCACCGCCGCGCCGCCGCACCACCACCCTCGTCGCCGTCGCGCTACCCCTGTCGCATCCCTTGTCTCCGCCGTACCACCTCGTCGCCGCCCCTGTCGCTCGTCTAATCAGGTTTGCTCCAATGTGATATCATGCAACTACGGTGTGATAATGGAACACGTATACATATTGTGTTTAATTTTGTGTTCCATGAATAGTGATAGAAGATTTAAGGATGGTTGTGATTTACTTGAAAGAAACTTTTAACAGGGAATCAGCCCTACTGCCACTCGAACACTTGAAAGTCTATTGTATGGATAGTATATTGTATGTATATGAACATCTGCTTGGAGAAAGTTTTTTTCATGGACTAGTCAAGCGATGGCCGTCTAAGTAATTACTTTCTGGTGTAATAAAGTTGCTGATTCTGAGAGTTATGTGTTCCCAATCACCTATATGTTCTCCTATCCTGCCTAAAGGAACATCAATGAACCCTAATTTGGCAGTTGCAGGTCCATTAAAAGGGTAGAAAAACAATATTGCTATATCAGTAAATGTTGCTCCTAACATTGGTTTGATGTGGATTATTAAACACTTCTAAGGGGTCGTTTACCAAACACTTATCCGGTAAACACTTACCGGTAAAATTCAAGACTATTATTTACCTACCGGGTAAGATTTTAGTTAATAAAAATGGCTTTATATGCAACAATTTATCCGGTAAGAGCTGACTGTGGTAAGAGTCATTGCCTTCCCTTACAGGGTAAGACTCTAAGTCTTTGCCGTGTTCTTACCGGGTAAGATTTTTGGTCCTTACCATATTCATCCGGTAAGGTAATATAACTTGGTAAGAGCTTACCCAAGTAAGTATTTGGTAAACAACCCCTAAGTAATGTATTTAAAAATCAACGCTATATCATCAGCAAAAAGCATACACCATGGTATATCATCTTGTATGTCTATTTTAAGCTCATTCATAACTACAACAAGAGACAAGGCTGNCAACGCTATATCATCAGCAAAAAGCATACACCATGGTATATCATCTTGTATGTCTATTTTAAGCTCATTCATAACTACAACAAGAGACAAGGCTGTCTGTTGCTGTTACCCCATAACTGTAGGGAAAACATCTCACCCGTCACATGCTTTGAAGCTTAATACCATTTAGCAAGCAATCATACATATGTTTGAACACATTAACATATGTTCTTCTTCTGAAGATCTCATCTATCATCTCTCATGATGATTGTATCATGAGCTTTCTTTAGATCAATAAATGCCGTATGAAGATCCCTTTTTTTGTGTCCCAACTCGAAGCAACCCGATGTCTAACCGAGTTGTAAAATTGTTAAATCGTAGGTATTAGGTTACTATTATTTGAACCCAACCCAACCCGATGACACTAATTTGGATTGCAAACATCGGGTTGGGTTGGGTTGCATCTACCATGCTTATGGTCTTATTATTTTTCCAAACCGCGAACATTGGGTTGGGTTGCATCTACCATGCTTATGGTCTTATTATTTTTCCAAACCGCAAACATTGGATTGGGTTGCATCTACCATGCTTATGGTCATACCTTTTTTAATTAAAATTGTAGCTTTTGGTCTATTTTTTTTCATCGGTGAATCGTGATGAAATTGTTATTTTTGTTTACAGAATGATATCTGATTGCGATGATGATTATAGTGATGATCCTAGCTATGAAATAGACGATAATTCAAGTGAACATATGTCAGATTCTTTATCTCWAGACCTTGAAGATRAGGATGATATAATCAACTTAAATAAAACAGTTGATGATCAGTTTCTAAATAAGCTTTGTATTGTAAACACGATTGACAATGTTGAGTTTAATGTGGATGAAGATGATGATAATGTTGGAGATCATGTTACACAAAATGGTGTTCAGTACCCGATACATGATCCTAATATTCCTTGGAAGCTGATGAAGCCCAAACTTGGTGAGAGGTATGAGAATCCTAGTCAATTAAAGCAGTGTTTGACTAACTACGCGGTTGCAAATGGCTACCAACTACAATACGTGAAAAATGATTCAGAAAGACTACTTGTTGCATGTGGAAAAGGTAAAAAAGATCACACATGTCCTTTTAGATTATGGGCATCTTGGATGCAAGAAGAAAAGTCGTTTCAAATTAAAAGCATTAATTGTAAGCACATATGTAGTAGAGACTATAGTTTTGGATCCCCTAGTGACACCAATTTGGATTGCAAAGCATTATGTTAGAGAACTCATTGAAAGACCGTTCATAAAAATCAAGGATATGCAAGATGATATTTTGAAAAAGTTTATGGTCAAAGTTAGCAAGGGCCAATGCATGCGGGCCAAGTCCAGGGCACATCTTGAAATTGAAGGTTCTTTGATAGAACATTATGGAAAACTTTGGGATTATGGACATGAAATTAGGAAAGCCAATCCAGGATCTACAGTTAAGATGGATGTAAATTTAATAGCAGATGGAAGCAATGAATTTAGGAGATTTTATGTATGCTTCAAAGCACTAAGAGATGGGTGGATTAGTGGATGTAGGAAGGTTATAGGACTAGATGGTTGTTTTTTGAAGGGGGTGTGCAAAGGAGAGTTAATATCGGCTATTGGTCGAGACGAAAATAATCAGATCTACCTTATAGGTATGTACATCCAAACTATGCTTGTTATATTAATATCAAGTGTTATTAATTTTTAAGCTCTTACAATGTTGAATGTTTATGTAGCTTAGGTTGTAGTAGATGTGGAGAACAAAGAGAATTGGAAGTGGTTCATTGAACTATTAATAGAAGATATTGGTGTTATTGAAGGAGCAGGGCTTACCATCATGTCTGATCAACACAAGGTATGAACTTCCATCACTTCTAACACTTCTAACACTTCATATTAACTTATTCAAATGTGTTTCAACCTTTATATCACCATTTAGACCATCTATTCAAGTTTTGGGTAGATTTTCCCCATATAGACACTCTAGTTTACCTACCCGATTTCCATTTAGGCAATGTACTTTGTATTTTGAAACCCGACATCATCTAATTATGTCCTTTGTGAGGTGTTAGCACCAAACTTACCTCATACATCTCATTCTAACTATGATTTAATTGCAATTTTATGCAATAGGGCATTGTTGAAGCTGTAAAAGAGTTGGCACCATATGCAGAGCATAGACAATGTGCAAGACACATATATGCTAATTTTCATAAAAGATTTAATGGTGTTGAGTACAGAAACATTTTTTTGGGCAGCAGCTACATCCACTTTTGAGGCAGATTTCATGTCACACATCGAAAAGTTTAGGATACAAAACATTAATGCATATAATCATTTGATTGAAAGGGACCCTAATACATGGTGTAGGGCATTTTTCCAACCCGGTAGAGATTGTGAAGCTGTAGAAAATGGGATTTGCGAGTCATTTAATTCAATAATTGTTGATGCAATAAGAAAACCCATAATCACAATGTTAGAGGAGATAAGGATATTTGTTATGGAGAGACATTACAGAGTGCTAAGCAAAGCACAAGAATGGGAATCAGTTGTTTGTCCGGCCATAAGAAAAAAAGTTAAAGAAATGGGGACAAAATCACAGGTATGTTTATCTATGATGGTAATTTTATTATGTATGCTTGTCTATGGTGGTAATATGATCTTGTATGCTAATGTATTCTTTTTCATATRTAGATATTGGTATGTTATTCCTRGTGGTGGGAATGTATTTGAAACACGAAAYGGTTTTGAAGCAATGGTGGTAGACTTAGATGCTAGAAAATGTAGTTGTAGAT